AGACTGCCTTTTCTGCGATATTTACCTATGGCTGTTATTGTTCAATTTGGAGTTGACAACGTTTGTTTTGTCGTTGCGTTGATAGCCACAGCCCACAAGGACAGACAGCTTTCGTTAAGTCGTCTGTCCCTGTGATATAAGTTGTTCGTTTTGGTTAGCAACAGCCAACAGTAGTTTGTTGCTGACATTCATTCAATACATGGCTTTGCCGTGCTTGTTGATTGTTTTTGAGAGCAATTGCCGGTAACAGTGACATCATCTTTACGATATACACATTCAATCGTAACCATCGTCAGCTTATATTTCAAACTTCACGACACATTGAATCGATGCTTGAATCGTCAAGTAAACGGCGTGAAACAGTCAATCCGTTTCGACCAGGCACTGAATAGTTCAAAATTCAAATCATCACTTTTACAAGAACGGCACATCCAACATCATACCGCTTCTTATGCGCTCTCGCCATGGGAGTCACAGCGGCAGTGGTTACACACACACGGCGTACACGCACACATGATACACCCACAGTTCTTCACTAGCGGCGAATGCTGTTCAGCTGCCAGGGGACACTGCCGACGCCGCTGAAGTACTCGACGTACTTCTCTCGTACTTGGGCCGCCTGCTGAGGGTGATTGTGAGACGCGCCTGCGTCACGTAGGTCACGGAGACCGGGGATGTCTCGTCGCTCTTCAGGCGTGACGTAGCCGTAGGCCGCTGGCCCTCCACGTCTGGTCTCGATGTCCTTCTCTCTCAGGAAGTTATGCAGGACGCAGGTTGCCAGGACGATGAGTTTAACGGCCTCCACGTCACACCCGATCGGACCCCGGAACACCCGCCACCGTTGTGCGAGGATCCCGAACGCGTTCTCGGAGGTCCGACGGGCGCGGCTGAGTCTGTAGTTAAAGACACGTCGTTGGTCGTTCGTCAGGCGCGACCCAGGAAATGGCCTCATCATATGTTGCCGCAGCGGAAAAGCCTCATCTGCCACGAACACGTGAGGCACGGTCACTGCGGAGCCAGGGAGCGGCTCTGGGCCTGGCAGAACAGGCGGCCCGCCGTTGTCTTGGTCCTCCAGCAGCCGACCCAGGTCGCTTCCTCCCCACACTCCCCCGTCACTCTCCTGACCGTGGCTGCCCACGCTGATGTAGCGAAAGCGACACTTCGCGTCCACCACAGCCATCAGCACGATGCTGAAGAACCCTTTATAGTTAAAGTTCATTGAGCCACTGTTGGCAGGCTTGTCGACCATGATATGCTTTCCATCAACCGCCCCACAGCAGTTGGGAAACTGCCACTCCTCCTCGTAATCCAGGGCGTGCTGGCGCCACTGCTCGGGCGACGGTAGCCCCATCAGCCCTGGTCCGAGCTCCTCCCAGATGGCGCGGCATGTCTCAGGGACGATCAGGCGGATCGTGGCGAAGCCTATGCGGTAAGATTCTGCCACAGACTTCATAGTCCCACCTGACGCCAGGTAACTGCAAAAGGTGTACACATATGTAGTAATTAAAAAATGTCAGTCCTTTGTTACGTCATTGCGCCTATGTCATATTCGTAATTAGTCGATTGGAAATTGAGGCACCTTTTCTGGTTATGCAAGCTTATGTGTTTCATTGAGAATTATACGCGCATTGAAAGTATGAAGAGGCTTCAGGTCTTACCGCAGCGTTGCCGCCAGGCGCTCTGCTGCCGAGATCGGCTTCCTCAGGTGCGTGATCTCCTTCGTGATGACGGGCTCGATCTTGCCGAGCACCTCGTCAAATTCATTGACGCTCATCCTGAAGTAGCGCCGATGGCCCTCAGGATCATTCTGGCGCAGTTCCTGTACTAGCGTGTGGAACTCGCCGCACTCTTCTCGGCGCAACAGCACCGGGCGAACCCACAGGCTTCGTCGCTGTCTCTCGCGTTCACGGCGCAAAAATAAAACTCTTAATAATGTTTGACGATCCATTTACTGCGGCTCAACTTCAACAGATCAGACAATACGACGTACACAAATGCGGCTGCTGCATAGCACGCATTCGCAGAGGCCGCTCCGATTGGAACGAAAAAACGCAGAAACCGAAAAAACGCAGAAACCGAAAAAACGCGGAAACCGAAATCCCGCAGAAACCGAAAAAACGTCGCTAGTGTAGCCTGAGCTTAATACTTATCGAAACGTATGAAGCTTTTTCTTTTATAATTTTAATGGCCACCTGCTGATTCTCATATATATATATATATATATATATATATATATATATATATATATATATATATATATATATATATATATATATATATATATATATATATATATATATATATATATATATAGACAAGACCCTGCCAAAACTCACGTGATAATTTGCATTTAACATATTTCTCAAATGATGCCCGATGAAAATGTTTACACTTGTCATACGTGAATGTGTTATGTTTGAAAATGGTTTACTGGAATAAACCGAAACGTCACTTGTAACCAATTAACTTGACATTGATGAGCAACTTTGGAGAATTAATTTTTAACTTACCTTCTGAAACCAAGAAACTCATTCGAACAATCGAACGAACTAACCGGAAACTTGCAAAAACTCAATGCTCCTTGGTCTTCAACGAAACCTGTATATATATATATATATATATATATATATATATATATATATATATATATATATATATATATATATATATATATATATATATGTTACGGGCAAAGTGCGAAGTTGGGCAATTCGCGAATTGCCTAGGCCATTCGCGAACTGCCGGCAATTCGCGAATGGCCTAGGCATTTTGCACATTGCCGGCAATTCGCGAATGGCCTAGGCAATTCGCGAATTGCCCGGTGGTGATAGAACATTTTTGAAACGAAAATTCGTAATAGCGCTGCTGAAATGAACATTTCTTCACGTCTACGGTGCCGGTTTTGGTGCCGGTAATAGCTTTGGAGAAAAAGTTGCATCTCTACAAGTGGCACCACCTGACCCGACCTCGGTCGGATTTGTCGGCTGGCCGCTCACTCTGTTTTGTGCTGGATCGCAGGAGGGTCGCTGGTCGCTGTGTGCAGAGGTCAGGTAAGTGGTCCAACGACTGTCTGTGTGGATGTGTTCGTGCAGGGTTGTTTAACCCTCTGCCTGTAGGGGTTACTCATATTACTCATTTATATTGTAGGTTATTTTTAAATGAAGTTACTCCTTTATATTGTAAATGTGTTCATACTTATACCAGTAAGACGTCATGGATGGCGAGGAACGAGCGAGGTGAATTTAACATGCAAACCATATGGCAAAATTTATATTCCCCACGTGCGCATTAGTGGTGAGGCACCTCTTTCGTGACAATTGGAAGTCACTGAGACGGTGGGTTTCTAACCACATACCAAATTTGAGCCCGATCGGTCAAGCCGTTACCGAGTTACAGACGCCAAAAGCGTAGGAACCATGGGTGCAGTGGGTGCAGCTGCACCCACAATAATTTGGCAGTGGGTGCAGGCAATGTATTCTGCACCCACAATAATCTGGAACAAAAGCCCCTTTTCGCGTCAACACTAACTCCCAATAATCCCATGAGTACCACGAAACTACATAGGATATTTTGCCCTCTGCAAGATGGTCTTCAAAGCTTACACATATATCCGCTCAGGTGGAAGAAGCCATAGCACATGTGATATAACACATACCTTATGATGACCCACTCCAGATGGTTTTAGCCCGTTATTTTAACCAACGCCCCGTTGGAGGTCCAGGATTTCCACACTCGGCAGCAGCTGGGATATTTCGTCACCCGCCACTTGCTGGGGGGGGGGGGGGTAAACGTCCCCAGTCGACAACTCGAGAACCAATAGCCGCAGCGACAAGGGCGAGGCGGCAAACGAAAACTCGTGACAAGACGCTTCCGTTGATGTGAACTTTGACCTCTAGCGCCTAAACGGTTGACCTGAGGTCAAATCTGACGACTTACTTCAGATAGCCCAATTCATTGCGCATCTTACCTTTTTTGCAGATCAAAGCTATCTGTCTTAGTTTGGGCGCGAGACCGGCTAAAGCAAAGCGCTGCACGTTTGACCAAAAAGTGCGAAAATTTTGCATTGATGACGTCATTTGACCTTGAAGATGTTGACCTAGGATCACCAAATTTGCACCACAAAGAGTTCTTATGCGGGCCTACCCACCCCCCAAGTTTCGTGTTTCTAGCATTTCTGGGAGCCGAGATAGCAGGGGGGCAGAATATGCCCCCCCTCGAGGGCGCGTAATTCTCAGACCCTCTCCAGGGGACGTGTTAATGACCTCTGGTGACCTGACCTCTGACCTGAACAAAAAAGTGACCGAAGTGATTTCTTCCTTATTTTTGACGCTCTTCGAACGCCGCCTTTCCGGTATCGCTACGTGGCCCAGGAGCCGAGTTAGAAGGGGGGGGGGGTGTTCAAACACTCCCCCAGCAGGGCGTGGAAATCCAGGACCCCCAGCGGGGCGCGGGTTAAAGATCGTGTTGCATATCAGCCGATCTGTATATCATCTAGCCGAACAAAACTAAGGTGTTTTAAACTTTACTCTATCATGCCTCTCCCAAAAGTTATTTACGAAAAAGTTAGATACAATTCCCCACCAAAGATGACCTCAGCTGCTAAAAGAGGTGTCACACGTGCCATTTTTCGGTTCTGTTGTGTGTCGTGCTAACTTAGGTATAATTTGGTGTTTGAAATTATTGAGAATGACGTTCGTTCAAAAGAGACACCTTTTAATTTTCTTCCATTGACCTACAAGAGAGGATGCAAAATTGACCTGTCCTTAGGTCATCTGGTCACCGATTTTTGCCGCTTTTTTTGTAAAAAAAAGCGGCGTGAAGCTCACCGTTTTCGTTTGTTTGTTTGTTTCTTATTGATATTCAGGGGAAAATAGGGTGCGGGTTAAAAATGGTAAAGTCGGTATATCACATCCAATTGCCGCTTCCTACCCCCCCCCCCCGCTCAACCAGCTATGGCTAGACTCCTGCAATCTGCACCTATGCGCCCACAATGTTCTAGCCGTTTCTACGCCCATGACAGACGCTGCAGTTATTGAAAATCGAAGGTGGAGTGCGCACGTGCGCGCGCGCGGCACAATCTCCCTTCTCACTCTTGTGGAGGGTTAGGCCTATGAGTACCTAGTAGCATGCCAAATTTCAACACTATCGGCGCAGACGTTCCAAGGCTGTAGCATTGTATTTTTTTCGACACCCCTCACTCTGCACGTGCCACGTGCTAAATTTGGTACCCACATGGTTCGGGGTATGCTCCATTCGTGGCAAAGGGATGTAGCTCCCCATCAATGAAAGCCACTTGTCAATCAGACATGTGGTTGCAAAGTTATAAGCTGTCAATTAGCGTCGTTTGGCCGGGTCGGGCTGCTAATACTTACATTTTTCCACTAAACCACAAAGGACTCGCTCGCACTTCGCGCTCGCTCGTAATTATCATTCTTTGTATATTATATAATATTTATCAATATTTTTTAAATTCATAAAGTCAATTTGTTATTGTAATCTTGCATACATCTCTATCTTTCGCAGGTAGACCGTTCGTCGTTTCTGCAAAGATGTCTCAAAAAGAACAGTTCTATAAACTGGTTCACGAAACCAAAATATCTTCAAACTCTGCTTTGATTACCGATGAAAAGTACGAGATTATAAAGGAAGAACTGCAGGGAATCAGCAAAGGCGCAAAACCGTCGGGCACCGCGAAACGCTATCGCATCTGGCAGAAGTACAGGCTAGTCAAGTTCGGATCAATTGAAAAGGTTGTAGATAAGAAAAGTGCAAAAGAAATCGTGCGGGAATCAGATTTGTTTGATGTGATTAATGAACTCCATTCTTTGACTGGGCATTGCGGAAGAGACAAGACGCTTATGGAAGTTCAAAAGCACTATGCAAGCGTCAGCAGAAAAGTCGTCTGGGCATTCCTCTCAACTTGCCAAACGTGCGAGCAGAAAAAGCCTAGGCCTGGCCAGAAGGTAGTGACTAAGCCTATTCTCAGCAACGACATGAACTCCAGAGCCCAGGTTGATCTAATAGACTGGACGAGTGAAAGCTCAAAGGGATTCAGATACATTTTAACATATCAAGACCACCTAACCAAGTTTGTCGTTTTGCGGCCCTTAAAATCAAAAAGGGCGGAAGAGGTGGTATTTCATCTCATCGACATATTCTGCCTGTTTGGGGCTCCAAACATCTTGCAGGTAAAGTAGCTTTGTCATATTGTATTTTTTTACCGATATATAGGTGAAAGCAATCATGAACGTTCTCTGTTTTTATTTTTTCTCTGTTTTTAAGTGCAAAAACAGTTTATCTCACCCTCATTGAATGTTAAGGGAATTTCATCATTAAGACCCTACATTTTGTCTATGGTCTGCATCTGTACTATACTATCATGTATTACCGGTTGTTTTAATATATTCCATCTCATCAGCAGCAGCAGCCAGCATGCGCTTATTCGTAAAATATGTACGGCTCTCCAAGATATTAGGGTGGGGTTGGCCGCTTCAGTCTTTAGAAAATTACTTGGATATGAGCGAACATGCACTGGTCGTTCTTTTGCGCATTATAGCAGATGCTGGAGTTGATATAACTGACTTGATTAGAAGAAAACCAGAGACATACATAGTTTCAGATTAACCCTCGCACTTGTAGGGGGGTCGGATGACCCCCCCCCATGGTTTTTCGCGAATAACTCGCGTAAAACGCGGCGGATCGCCGCGAAACTTACAGTACCCTCGCGTTGATCAATCTGACACGTACTGTGGAAATTTCAAGTCGATGTCATGTCAGGTCATCAAGTCATGACGTCATATGTCAGGTCATGTTTGGACGAAATCGGCAGGTTTTGCGATCTGTCGCACGATGGTGCGCGTTCTTGCTTCCCAGCGCATGAGTATGCATTCTATGAGAGTTTATTGGTGTTTATGGATGTCTAGACATCGCATACAGTTGACTCAAGGTCAAGGTCACGCAAGGTCACGCTTGTTAGGAGCATCTTCTAGGTCAATTTAGTCGCTTCAATTAGCTGTTTTTTTTTTTTGCGAGTTTGAGCGTCAGGATGATTGCTTAGAGGTGAATGGATGTCAGATTCGAGCTCAGCGCCTATGAATACACTATAGTTGACCCGCCATGTGTCAAGGTCATCCGTGGTCATCCGAGGTCATCTGAGGTCACTGACCTAGGATTACCTTTGATGACCTTTTCACCTAAGGTCAAGATTAGGGTAATTTGAACTGTTCTAAGTCACTTTTACAATGATTCGCTCGTGATTCATGAAGGTAACTGCACAACCACTGTGTGAAACATCGCAATAAAAACATGAAAGTAGTTCAGATAAAGGCTAAGATTGCGTTAAAAATTCGTTAAAACAGAAAACCTAAATGTGTTTCAGAGCGACAACGGACGCGAGTTTCGCAACAAAGTAATAAAGCAGTGCACAGCCATGTGGCCATCGCTCCAGCTTGTTCGTGGACGACCTCGCCATTCGCAGTCCCAGGTGAGCGATTGATAGGTATAAGCCAGATTGGCTATTCACCAATATACGAATTTAGATTTGGTATAGAATTAGCTTGTTGTTCCTACATGGATTTTTGAAGTCTTTAAAATAGATATTCATATTGAATTGATCGTGTGCATGTTTGTGCTGGGGTTTATGGACGGACGCTAAAGCGCAAATAGGCTATCAAGCGCCCTTATTTGATTGCTCAAAAAGTGACTATTCAATATCAATGCCTGCGCAAATAAATAGAAGTGGAAAGAACATGAATAAATAAATCGAGAGTTAAAAGAGGTCAATGCAAACTGTACCATGTAATATTCGCCGCCATGTGCATGCTTGACTTTCTCATGTACGGATATAGTAATATTTATTTCCGCCCGGGGCTGGGAAAATGCATTTTATTTACCAAGGTTTTTTTGCGGAAGTACCGAGTGCCGGCAGGCACGAGGTCTGTAGCAAAAAATTCGAGGTGAATAAATTAAGCATTTTCCCATCCCAAAGGATGGGAAGATAGTTACTACATGCCGTTAATTGCTACTTTCATCTTGAATATTCTCTTAAAAATTGTCTGGGAAAATCAAAATGACCGTGGTCAAGAACCTTTTCCCAAATACCTTAAACATTAGCCGTGAGCGGTCCGGAAGCTTTTCCCAAAATCACGTGCTAATGTTAAAGGGATATCTCGGCATGTGGTAAATTGACACATTTAATGTTTCCAGGGATCTGTCGAAAGGGCGAATCGGCTGGTTCAGGAAAAGCTTCGGTGCTGGCTTGCCGATAACCCGGAAAGTAATTGGCCCGAGGGACTACGCTTTGTTCAGTGGATGATAAACACGCAGGTATATAGCCTTCATCTGTATTAGTTACAAAAAATATCATTTGAAATTTTCCTCATTCGTTTAAAACATATGTTTTGAAGAAAAAAAAATATTTCCAATCATTAGCTGTAATTTAAGTCAAAGCGGGAGAAGTGTAAAGTATTAGCTGGTTACGCTTAACTGCACAGTCTCGTAATTTTGTGTGAACATTCTGTTGTTAATATCTTGAATATGTTCTGACTGTTTCAGAAGAACGACGGGATTGGAACTGCTCCCTACAAAGCGATGTTCGGTGTTGAGCCCCACATGGGCCTGAGGGACACGCAGCTCAGAGGAGCGCCCGCCAGACTGTTGAGGACTGAGCAGGAGCTGGCGGATATGCTGGGACTGGTGGCTGATGGAAGTCGCCAGACGGCCACAGATGCAGGACTGGACAGTCAATCGGGCAGCAGCAGCAGCAGCGACTGGCAGCCGGCTGGCCGCGCCCATGCAGGGAGGAGAAGGAGCGGTCGTGCTGTAGTATGCAGCAGCAGCAGCAGCAGCAGCAGCAGCGACGAGGAGCCAGCTAGCTGCACTCCAGGGAGGAGCGGTCCCACAGTGGCGGTAGCCGGCAGCAGCAGCAGCGACGAGGAGCCAGCTAGCTGCACTCCAGGGAGGAGCGGTCCCACAGTGGCGGTAGCCGGCAGCAGCAGCAGCGACGAGGAGCCAGCTAGCTGCACTCCAGGGAGGAGCGGTCCCACAGTGGCGGTAGCCGGCAGCAGCAGCAGCGACGAGGAGCCAGCTAGCTGCACTCCAGGGAGGAGCGGTCCCACAGTGGCGGTAGCCGGCAGCAGCAGCAGCGACGAGGAGCCAGCTAGCTGCACTCCAGGGAGGAGCGGTCCCACAGTGGCGGTAGCCGGCAGCAGCAGCAGCGACGAGGAGCCAGCTAGCTGCACTCCAGGGAGGAGCGGTCCCACAGTGGCGGTAGCCGGCAGCAGCAGCAGCGACGAGGAGCCAGCTAGCTGCACTCCAGGGAGGAGCGGTCCCACAGTGGCGGTAGCCGGCAGCAGCAGCAGCGACGAGGAGCCAGCTAGCTGCACTCCAGGGAGGAGCGGTCCCACAGTGGCGGTAGCCGGCAGCAGCAGCAGCGACGAGGAGCCAGCTAGCTGCACTCCAGGGAGGAGCGGTCCCACAGTGGCGGTAGCCGGCAGCAACAAGGGCATGCAGCAGTCACCGGTAGCTGCACAGCCTGTTAAGCGAACACTAAGAAGCAGGCGCTGCACTCACTGTTATGGGCCGGCACCTGCATCTGACGGCTTTTGCGATCTGTGTTCTCGTGCTAAGAGGGCACTTGAAGAGCGGGAGATCGCCTCGGCATCTCAGAAAAAACAGGCGAATCTCATGCTGGCTCGGACGAGGAAGGCGAAGAAGATTCTATCTGTGGGTCAAAATGTACGCATTGGCATTCCCGACGTGGACAGGGCGAGGACGCAACAGAAAAATGTTATCGGAGTGATATTGGAGGTGAGTCTGGAGTAATTTTCTTTTTGCAGCTGCTTGTACTATTGGTTGCTCTTTCTCGCCACGCTTTCTATTGCTATATTTTCAATTTTTTATTTCGATAACTTTTTACTGTGAATTAAGTATATAATATGATTTTCAATCAATATGAATATTGTTCTCAATGTTGAAACGATTTAATATCTGTAAAAATAGTTGCTTAGTTATTTTTCATCATGATTTCAAGTGTATAAGGCGCTGAAAGGACATTGTCGGTTCAATTAGATTTGATGTCAACAACAAAACGTTTTTAACACAGATCGAAACTGTAGGTGTCTGGCACTGGTCGCAATAATTATAAATCATATCAATATTATCTGCAGTAAATTAATTGCTGATGCTGTAAAAACTTTGTATCGCTCGTTGACATAGATGACCGTGTTCGCAGTGTGTCGGCGAGTCACAGTATATAATTGGCACGACGAAGGGGAAGCTGTCCGGCGTCTACGGCCCAGAAGCAGTACAACCGTGTGCCGGGCACTTCATCTCCTCCTCCGACGTCCCCGACATCTCGATCACACTTAGAGAATGTGCTCGCCTGGTCTCAGGGGGGAAGGGTCAGGGGATGTTTTCCTGCAAGTGCAGGAGGGGTGTATGTAAAGGCCGATGCAAGTGCATCAAGGCGGGCGTTACTTGTATCAGTCGCTGCCATAAAGGCGCTCACTGCAATAATAAATAGTAAGAAAGTCAGACTGTTGTTTGTGATTTGGCATGGTTTTGTTTTTGACGGAAATTATCGAATAGTTTAAAGACCACGTGCTACGGAACTTGATAACTGCGTACACAACCTCTCTTAACCTAAACACTTTCGCGTTATACAGATACCTCATATGATTAAACTTTTGATCCAATAAAATTCAAATGAGTCATAAAAATGTATCTTCGATCGCATTTATTTGCCACCCCGCGCGCCCCACAAAGGACAATCATTTTCGCACGTCTGCACACCTATTTAAATTAGGATACAAGAGGGACGATGGTAAGTACTACACACCAGCCCCCTCCCACTATAAATGGCAACGAGTTCGGAAGGAGAACCTTAGTACTATCAGATTTATTTGAAAATTCCCTAAAATTACAGAACAGCAAGTTTCTGGCCGCCTCAGATAGACTTAGCCATAAGCAAATGTCCTAATGTTAATGAATATACTCATTTTAGCACGGTAGAAAACTTTTGTGATATAGTTACTCACTTTGCCTGGGCAATTCGCGAAATGCCCAATTACGCACTTTGCCTGTGAGCACAAAGTCAGTCCATTCGCGAATTGCCTAGGCCAAGTGAAAAACCGGACTTTGCCTAGGCCATTCGCGAATTGCCGGCAGTTCGCGAATGGCCTAGGCAATTCGCGAATTGCCCAACTTCGCACTTTGCCCGTAACATATATATATATATATATATATATATATATATATATATATATATATATATATATATATATATACCAAACACCGGTGTATCTCCTTCACAACACCGGAAGGGGGTGTGCCCAATTGGCTGCTAACACCACACAATGGTGTAAAGGTATTTGTTTTGTTCCCGTAAAGAAGGCGCAAATTAATGGTGTAGCACCTTTTATGGTGTAAAGACGTCGTATAACACCACAAGCTGGTGTACTTACAGTGATTTAACGCCATACGCCAGTGTATGTGCCTGGTGTTACACCAGGATTCAGTGTATGCTTACACCAAAGCTTGGTGTTGAAACTACACCGGTGCAGGTGCTCAAAAACGGTGGGGTGTAAACATTTCCTAAAAGGTGTAAACACCAGGAGCGGGTGTGAATTTATTTTCAGTGTATAGAGTAGAAAGGAAAGAAACAGAAGAGACGACCGATTTGCGGGATTATGTGAAATGGTGAATGATCTTTTATGAGATTATTTTGAGTATAAATCTGTTGTGTGGGGGAGTGTATCGCGATCATTTCTCCGCCGTTGTAAGAGCTCTTTTTGCCTTCGCTCGAGATTCCATTCAGTTTTATTCGTTTTCAAATATGTCAATAATTTAAAATTTTGAACTCAGAACCTTGGAACCTTGGATTTATTTGGACTCGCTTTATTTGAATATTTTGTTCCGGACTTGTTTGGACTCGCTTTATTTGAATATTTTATGTTCGGAAAGCTATAGCGCACTGTTGATGAAATTTGTATGTATTATTGTTTCATAAAACCTGTGACTGGCAACATTTTTATTACTTGATAATTTTGAATAAACAAATTATACATGTCAGTGCGAAGATAATTAATCGAAACGACATTGCGAACGAAACACTCTCGTCCCTGGACTCTTCATGGGGGGACGCTGACGGCAGCCAGAGAGGGAGTGACCATGGAGGGAGAGGACGGCCAGATCACCATTAAAGTAGAAGATGCCCCTTGTGCGGTGGTAGGGAACCGGCTGGAGGCGGTCCTCCTTCTGAGTGCCGCTCTGTACGTCTTCGCGCAAAAACGTCCCACGTCACTGCGCAACATAACCATATTCACAGACATCATGGTGTTCGGTGTGAAAAAGCCGGGACCAGTCCCCTCACGTGTACGTCTGGTCATAGCTGAACTGTCGGCGTTGGCCTGAGGGTGGCAGAGGTAGCGCAGTAACGTTAGACAGGTGACGCGGTGGTGGCGGTATCGGTCCACCGGAGCTGGCAGTGGACTGAAGAGGTGACTCGGCGACCGCGTGCGGTGGTGAACGTCTGCCAGGCGTTTTTGTCCGACTGCTATTTTTTTTGTCCGACTGCCGCAGACAGCTACAACAGTCTGCGGGGATGCCAGTCACATAGCTGTCCCTTTAACCACAGCTGCCGCCTCTGTCGCGGCGCCCATCCCGCCGTCCGATGGGTCCGGTCCCCACGTCAACGGCCGGGCGCCGTCCCACGACCGCCTCCCGCCGCCGGTGCCTCTCACTGAACAATTTCCGACGTCCGCGGCCGCCTCCTTCCGCACTGTTCACCCGGATCTTATGGACAGGCTTCTATCTGGATATGACGAGTCTCTCCGTCATTGCCTCGTGTCTGGCTTATTTAGGGGGTTCTCCCTGGGCTGTGAGGACATTGTCGCGGGGGATGCGGAGGGGAACCTGCTCTCGTGCACTGAGGCGCCTGAGATTTTGGATGCCTATGTGGAGAGGGAGCTGCGAGCAGGCCGCCTCGACAGGCCGTTTCCGCTCCTTGCCCTGAGGTGTGCAAACTTTCTCCGCTTGGTCTGGTTCCGAAGCCCGCGCCCGGCGCCTACCGGATCATACATCGCTTGTCTTTCCCTGGGGCGCGTCCGTAAATGATCACCTCTCTCGCTTTCGCTCGCTCGCTCGCTCGCTCGCTCGCTCGCTCGCTCGCTCGCTCTCTCTCTCTCTCTCTTCTCCTCTCTCTCTCTCTCTCTCTCTCTCTCTCTCTCTCTCTCTCTCTCTCTCTCTCTCTCTCTCTCTCTCTCTCTCTCTCTCTCTCCTCTCTCTCCTCTCTCTCTCTCTCTCTCCTCTCTCTCTCTCTCTCTCTCTCTCTCTTCTCTCTCCTCTCTCTCTCTCTCTCTCTCTCTCTCCTCTCTCTCTATCTCTCTCCTCTCTCTTCTCTCCTCTCTCTCTCTCTCTCTCTCTCTCTCTATCTCTCTCTCTCTCTCTCTCTCTCTCTCTCTCTCTCTCTCTCTCTCTCTCTCTCTCTCTCTCTCTCTCTTCTCTCTCCTCTCTCTCTCTCTCTCTCTCTCTCTATCTCTCTTCTCTTCTCTCTCTCTCTCTCTCTCTCTCTCTCTCTCTCTCTCTCTCTCTCTCTCTCTCTCTATCTTCCTCTCTCTCTCTCTCTCTCTCCTCTCTCTCTCTCTCTCTCTCTCTCTCTATTCTCTCTCTCTCTCCTCTCTCTTCTCTCTTCTCTTCTCTCTCTCTCTCCTCTCTCTCTCTCTCTCTCTCTCTCTCTCTCTCTCTCTCTCTCTTTCCGGTATATTTCCATGTTAATTTAATTGGGTTTCTCTTCAATGTTGCAGATATGGAGCGAGCTAGCCCGAATCAGAGGTGAAGGTGCTACAGCCTCTGACGAACTGAAGGTGGCACGGGAGATCCTGAACAAAATCTTAATGATGTACCATTCTGCCTTAGTTTGGGCGCCAGGCTGGCTAAAGCAAAGCGCTGCACTTTTAAGAAGTGCGAAAATTGTCATTGCTGACGTCAGTTGACTCAAAGATGTTGACCCGAGGTCACCAAATTTTCACCACAAAGAGCTCTTCTGCAGACCTATCCCCCTCCCGAAGTTGGGTGTTTATAGCTCTTCTGGGAACCGAGATGGGGAAAGAATATGCCCCCCCCCCCCGGGGCTTGTTATTCTCAGACCCTGTCCAGGGGACGTGTCACCAAGCGGTCGTTGAGCGTCCTCGGTGTGTGGCAGGCAGGTATGAGTCAACTCGTTTCCCATTTGGTTTCAGATGAGGCACTTGAGCATCTCCTCATGGAGCTGAGAGAGGAGCAGACCATATTGGAACTGCGACCAGAAACGGACCGCCAACCATCACAGATGGCGCACTTGGGCTGAGGGGGAGAGGGTCGCCACATTCGAGACCATGACGAACATGCGAGATGAACTTCTCACGTGGGGTTGTTTTTAAGCGCAGAATCGGCTTTCGAGTCGTCGTTACGTATGCTAAAAAAACATGTGTTCATATTATGGTATACTGGTGTTATTCCTCGTAGAAAGAACGTGAACGTGACTGCGGGCGGGGAGGGGAAAGGGAATCTGGGATCAACAACACCCGATATCGGATCGAATATACACTCGGAAGACGTGCTCCGTTTCAGGTGTAACACTTCAGTGAAACGGTCAATCAAGAGTGTAGCTGCCTTAGCTATTCGCTGGAGAGTGTAAACGTGTTAGGTCAACACTCCTCTGGGGGGTCGTGGTACACTTCGGTAAAGTGTAAATATTACACCTCGTACAAGAATTAAAAACGCAGAATAGGGAATGCTCCTGAAAATTATTTCGCTTCAATTTTTAGTATCTTTTAGAGCATATTTAAAAATAATTTTTGGTGAATTAACTCAACATTCTGTTGTTTATTTACAAAGAAATTGCAATATTAGTCAAATAAAATATGCCCTTAGACAGCATGACGTCATTTTTAGTGGACCTCTCGCGTCCGATACGTCCATTCGTTGGAGACGCTCGCTCAAGGCGGTTTGAAGTGATTTCTTTATAAATTTCAAGGTGATTTGTTGGGTTAGCAATTCTTGCAAGATGGAAGAGGGGTTTGTGAAGGCAAATTCGCTGAACTTGTCATATGTAGACATGTTTACAGTCTCAGATTCTTAAGGAACAACGAGGATTACGTACCTATCTGCTGAGTTCCGAATGACAAAACTGGAAAGGTTGGTATTTGTACCTAATCTACCTTTCTAAAAAGCTGCTTTGGCCTTTTCTGTTTAGTTCAAGGTACATTTTTGGTGATCCCTTATGATAGAGTAACGGCCTATAGCATTCTGGTCCTCACCCCATCGCAACACTGGTCCCCATACTGATTATATGGCTGTTTATAAGCTTGTGTGAACACAGGAATCAGGAATATAGCCCACTGTTCAGACTAGGTAATTCCATGATAGTTTCAGACTTAGATATGTGAAACTGCATCATGCAACAGGCCATTCGGATTCACTTGCTTCCTGATGCTCAGATTTTTACGCAAATTTAGTCGATGTTGTAAAAGGGTGGATTTCTGTGTGGTGTTTCA